TTTAGACACTGAGCCACAGGGCCAGGGCCAGGGGAAACCGAGGTGCCGCGGGATGAAATCACAATCAAGCAGTTCAGACCAACTCGGGCCTTTCCCTGGGTAATATTTGCTGTTCAGATCTGATAAAAATAGGGCAAAACGGAAATACACTTTCTAGTCTTAGTGGTCTAGCCTGTTTATTCCCTTAAAAGGCAACAGAACCAGTCTTTATGACTACAGTGGTGAAGAGAGTCCACTAGCAAATGGAGATTCAGCGGTCTTAGAAGGCCACGCAGGGTTACAAGGATGAAGCGGAGTTTTCTTAGTATAGGTGGCCCGGCGACAAGGAACACCGAATGCCCACACTCAGGGAAAGAAAGAGCCAATTTGTGAATGTGACTTCTGCCTATCCTTCCATTTTCAAAGTTAATTGTGTCTTTAATGGGTTTTGATTTGATCACAGGTCTTTGGTAAATGGAATTGTTTTCATTTTAGAAGTATAATAAAACTGCATTAAGTACGTAGAGGAAAGACATGAGTCAGGAACTAGAGCTAAAGAAATGAATGGGCCAAATAGCTGTTTAGTTAAAGACTGCCTTTAATCAGGAATACACGTGACTTACAATGATCATATCAGAGCACCAAATTAAGCAGTACTGGTCTCTATTTATATGGCAATAGGCAATGTTTATTTGTTTATTCTTCTTCAAGAATATGCATTGACCATTTGTAACGACATGGATGGAGCTAGAGTATATTATGCTAAGTGAAATAAGTCAGTCAGAGAAAGACACATACCATACGACTTCACTCATAAGTGGAATTTAAGACACAGACAAGCAAAGGACAAAGAGAGAGAGAAACCAAGAAACAGACTCTTAACTATAGAGAACAAAGTGATGGCCACCAGAGGGGAGGCGAGGCGGGGGATGGGGGAAATAGGTGATGGGGGTGAAGGAGTGCACTTGTCGTGTTGAGCACGGGGGGATTAAAATAAAAACTTTGACATAAAAAAGAATATACAGTGACAAACACTCCAAGCATACTCTTATCATCTTGCTTATAGTTATTAGTTCAGCAAGGGCTTTCTTCCCTCGGATGCTGCAGGATAAACTGCAGACAGTATACCCCTACTAACTATATTCCACGTGAGACAAATCTTGTAATTGATATCATTAATTCATGTCATTACTATTCCCTTAACTCAATGAGGATTTTTCTAGGCACCTACGATGTGGAAGGCTCTCTGCAGGCACTGAACGCAAACTATAGTCCCGGCTCTGAGTGAGCTGAAGTCTAAGAAGGAGCCAGGTGCAACCACTGATTCCACCAGACTGGTGACTGATGAAAAGGTCTTCCAGGATCAGCTCTAGTGAAAACCTTTAAGTGTGTTTTAGTAATTATTTGTGGAATTTAGTAAGTGTTTCTAGAGTATTAAGGATCATCGACAAGCACTTGGCTTCTTCAGTTTGTTAAGCATTTCCTTTGTAATATTTACACCCACGCTTTGGACGTTTTCTCAAGAAAGGACTCGCTGAGTGTAGGTAAATTTCTGCTTAGACCTTGTCTGAATTTTTCTAAATTCTAAGTTAGTAAACCCAAACTTCCTCTGGCAAGTTTGCCAACCATCCCTGCCCCCCTCCTGTGGCTGTCAGCCCCGGGGAGCCTGGAGCACTCTTACCTCACATCCGGAGGCTTATGTGGGGTGCTGCTGTGCCCTCCGAGAAAGAAAAAAGGGGAGAGTCTCCACTGCCTTCGTTTCTTCCTCAGAGACCATGTTTATGGGAGCTTTAAGTGGTTCCATAGCCTTTTGCATTAATTCACCTGCATTTTTAATAGGGCAAAAGGCAGCTTGCTTCCTTCAACAATAAATTCTGAAATTTAATTTCAGCTTCTGACATTCATGGTTGAGTGTATCTTCCTTTTCCATGAGAGGTTCCACAAATCACTCCTGTGCACCTCTACTGAGTCAGACCCAGGGAAGAGGACAGGCTGTTAGGCAGAACTCTGGGCTGCATCACACAGAGCACAGGGTTCTTCCTGCCTAAAAAGGCTCAAGACCGCTCTCTGCAGCATGTAGGTGCGCGCAGGAAATGCTCTGTGAAGCGCCCGGTAAGTTCCCATTCCTCGGAGGCAGAGGCAGAAGCTTCCTTAAAGAACCTGCAACTCTGGGCGCCTGGGTGGTTCAGATGGTTAAGCGTCTGCCTTTGGCTCAGGTCATGATCCCGGAATCCCGGGATCCTGGGATCAAGCCCCCAGTAGGGCTCCCTGCTCAGCAGGGAGCCTGCTTCTCCCTCTGCCTCTCTCTCTCATGAATAAATAAATAAGATCTTAAAAAAAAAAAAAAAAAAGAACACGCAACTCTGACATTCCTTTCCCCACTATTCAGCCGAAACCTCATTTATTATTTTGAGTGTTGGATGAAATTTCATTTCTTCACGTTGTTTTATTGGGAACCATGGACTCTAACGAATATTTTTTTTCATTTTGGATACCCTTACATGATTTCCAACGTGCAATTTTCTCTTTAAGGATATATGAAATGGCCCCCTTCCCCAAGTCCTCACTTGTTAGGCATTTTAGCCTCTGAGAAAATGTATTAGAACACACAGTAACCAAGAAATCTACCAAGAAGGACCAATTTGGCCTTTGAGGTCCGACCTCCCTCAATTCCCAAATACTGAAGTTGTTGACCACATGCATCTCAGAAAACCTAAATATCCCAGTGCCTCCAGGAACCCAGCCTGGAGAGGCACAGTTTAGGCTCAAGCTTCCAACCCGTCAATCGCACCCATTGTGAAGTGGGTGCTAAATGCCAAAATTACCCCGCCGCTGTCTGATTTTCTCTTGTCTCAAAGTAGAGCTGATACAAAAAAGGTTTTGATCCCTTTAAAGGAGTTTGCCAACAAAACCCTGCTCCCCAAGTACTCAAAGTGGTATCCAGTACCTTAAGACAAATTCTTGGGTAGATCCAGCAACCTCCATAACCAGCAACTGTAGAGTCTCCAAGTAAATTTCAAGCTTTCTTTTTTTAAAAGATCCTTTTGTGGAAGAGTCTAGTGGAAGAAATAGTGAGTCCACGAAGCCAGATTTCTGTTATTAGAGAAATCTGCCTACGGCCTTGCTCAAAGATAGGACTGCTGCAATGTCCTGTTCTGATAAAGGCCTCCCCATATTTCCTTTTAACCGAATTCCTTCAATCTGGACCAAAGATGAAACTATAGAATGCCTTACTCCACACTTGAATGATGTGCTCTAATTATAGCAAAATCTCTAAACTTTGAGAATCACACACATTTTCCGATGTGCTCTTTGGGTTCAGTTTTGTTTGTTTGTTTTCGGTTTTTATAATAGAATGAAAAATGCACACTTAGCCCTGACTAAAGAGCGGTTAACTATCATGCGGCTCAGACATTGGCTCACGGAATGACTTGCTTTCTGTGTGCAAAGGCATGCACTCTCTCGCATGTAGGGACTCTGGCCTCAACGGACCCCCGGGGGGTTTAGGCTGAACACATACACACGTCCACACGCGAGCGCACTGAGTAGGCCAGCGTGCAACTCTCCATTCTTCGTACTTCACTGCAGCTTCTACCCCAGCCTCCGCAGCGATTTATTCCGACCGTGTTCCGGGTTCTTTTCTTTGAACGTCTGTCCATGAGGTTTCCTAGCACATGTATCTTTCAAGCCCAGTAAAGGTCACATTTAAGGTCCAGGTGAGAGCCTTCTCGGGTGACACCAAACCAGCTTGATTCTTTTCGCACAAAATTACTTGCATCTTGGCAGGGCTAAATGGCAAACTCAATAAGTCCTGAAATGTAATTTCCATGGCTCACGTCTGTAGTTAAGCTTCAGTTTTCTTACCACAGAGAGGTTCTGCTTTCCATTTAACCTCCAGGTGTTCGTGCTCACCCTTTGTCTCCCTTCCCCGAGACACACATCATGCCGAGAAACACACGCCAGGTGACAGAGGCGGAAATTTCTGTGTAGTATTCTATTCTGCATCCGGAAGCCAGACATGGGCAGCACCACGTGTGGAGCAAATTAGGCATTTAGATGGGGAGTAACATCAGTATATGCCGGCAAAGAGTGCATCAGGCTCCAGAATGTCTGAGCTGCGTGGATTAAGTTGTTCTGATCACATTAACCTCACGCTGGTCCGCCCATCCCTCCTGCTGTGTGGAGCTGAGCGAACACAGCAGCGGGCCAGGTCGGGGGTCGTTGCTGCATCTCCTGGGGCCTGTCTCTTGGAGATTATTGATTTGCGCACTCCGGACTTTCTAGTACCCATCTATGTGTAGATAAAGAACGGTAGCTCAAGAGCTGAGAGAGACACAAAGCGGGACAGCCGCTGAGAGGCTGCTTTCGGAGCACGGCCCTCGGCCCTCGGCCCTCAGACAGGTGAGTACACCGCGGAGTCGGACAGGCAGGGCATCGCCACACTTCTTCCTGCTTTATTGTTTTTCCCAGAAAACAGTTACACTCAGCAAATCAACTGTGAACTTTGACTCTAAATAAGTAAATTGCCAGAGGTGAGGGGAACTAGAAGAACGTACGAGATTATTAGCGAAAACAGAGGCATAAACATGGGCACGCCATGTCTTGCTTCTTTTAATGTTTCAAAATGTGGAAATGATTACTGTGACTGATTCTCAAATGACAACCCGTATCATTAAAACATCCCATCGTTACGGGAAAATGCTACAAAAATTCTGATGTGACCATTTCAAAATTTTTTTAACACCTGTGCCTCCCTAAAAGCGCCTCAGGATGCCCTCAGTATTTTGAGAAAAATCTACTTTTGGAATACACATGTAGCTCAATCTTTCACTAATTTCACTTGCTGCATGCTCGACAGGGGTAGCTCTACCTAAAGTCTTTATTCTTACTGCCTAGATAATTTGTATTCAGCTGCTCTAAACATACTAAGCAATCTTGACTCTAACCGTAATAATATATCTTTGTCACTGGTTCTGTTAATTCTAATGATTGGTCCTAGGCTGTTCCTCCCCTTCCTTTAGGAATGGTACCTTCCAGTCTCTCCATGTGCATGAAAAGTGACAAGCATGGGTCCCCATATTTCTACTTATTGGGCCACCCTAAAGACACGGTTTGTAAAATCTGCATGAATATTATCTTTCTCTAATGAGCTTTGGTTTTGCATTGTTTGTAACTGATGTATAATGCTTTTTCTTTCATAGTAGCTTGTCTAATTACTGTTAGAGCTCTGGAAAATACCTAGCCGAGACCTCACAAGTGATAAGGATAGGATTTGTGGTTCATGAACACTTGGGATGCACCAGGTTCCAGGGGTCCAGCCCAGAATGGCCCCAGCAGGAAGGAAAGATAGGGAGGGTCCAGCAGCGGCAGCACCAGCCAAGTTCTGCTCCACACACTTCCAAAAATCCTCCCCAGGTTTGGTACAAGTAGTTACATTGATTTCCTGTCAGCCCAAGTTCGGACAGCTCCAACCCAGGGCATCCCTTTGGCACCTGACAGAAAGAGAGCCACAGTCGCCAAACATTCGAGCCCTGGGATCTCTGAACTCCTCCTGGCATCAGGGTATTGCCCCCGGCTGGCCTGTGGCAGCTCTCCACTCCGGACTGGAGCTGCTCACTTTCCTCTCTCTGTGCTCCGTGACACACCAGACTTAAAGAGGAGGAAAAAACAGTTGTGACTTTTTTTTTTTTAAAGTAGGCATAACTTTGTATCTGAACAATATTTACCACTATTTCAAAATGAATACTCTCCAGTTGGCTGTATTTTAGCCTAACATTTGGAAAATTCTTACAGAAAAAAAAATATCCTACACATAAATAAAGCAGAATATAGGTGATAGCCTTGCAAATATGGTTCAAGCAGCTTTTCACCCCCAAACACATCCCTAGAGCGGCCCACGTTTCCACTGGCAGATCCTGCAATGGGCAGGTGGCTTCGGCCACAATTGAATAGGTAGAACTGGGATTTTAAAATGTTAGTTTGACTCTTCAGCAGAAACTGCTCCCCATACTCTGGGTTAGGCATGGAAACAGGAGTCAGACTGACATGTTTCTCAATTTGGGTTTGATGTGACCCCATTCACGTTGTCACAGCCATGGCTGAGCATCTCTCCACCAAAGTCTTTTAAGCTGGCTCTCTGAATTTTTCCAGAAACGTATTTTCCAACTGTTATGACCCTGCTGACTGCCATCAGGACTGGTTTAAATTTAACATGAAAGATAATATTACTCACTAAGTGAATTATTTGATTGGCCTACTGCTAAACAACTCCTTACCAAACATTTTTATACTGATATAAGTATTATACACACACACACACACACACATACACACACACTACTGCAGTCATTCCTTGAGGCTGTCTAAAAAAAAACAGAAGTTTTAAAAGTATCATTTCTCTAAAGTGTCTGTCTCTCAAGGATGTTATTGATCAGGGGAGGCCTGAATCAGAGCAAAAAGGAAAAAGCTCCAATTTACTGGAATAGGCATAAAGCCATGGAATAATTATTAGGGAAATCTAGTCCATTGACTGTGGTTTAAAGAGGTATAGATTTGTGCTTCTGACAAAAGAAAGGTATATGCTTGCCATTTAATTCACTTCAACTAGTCTGGAATCCATGGAGGTGAGGGGACCTGAATCAACCAATTCACCAGTCACCAGCCAAAAACAAAAACACAAGAGGGCTCTTTGTGGTTTCTGTCCAGTCCCACCAACATCTATCAGGCACCTTACTCAGTGCTGGGATATAAAGATTAGTAAGAGAGTCTCTGCCTATGTGCATTCATAAGCAAGTAGGAGTGACAGGGAGAAAGCCAGGCGATGGGGCAAATCTGAAAAGTATCAGCGAAGGAGTGATAAGAACCCAAAGGAGACAATATCCTAACTCTGCTTAGCAGAGTTGTAGGAGATTCTACTCTACCCAAGAGGTGACATGATAGCTGGGCCTTGAGTGACAAGTATGACTTCACCAGTGCGGGCAAGAGGTAAGGCCATTTCAGGCAGAGGAAACAATTCAACCAAAGCCAGGGAGGATGTTCAGAACCACTGTCACATAGGCTAACTGAGAGAGGCAAGGCACTAAATGAAAGAACACGAAGGTGGGTACAAGGAGAAAGGGCCTCGTATGCCATGCAAAGGAATTCGGATTTTAAATAATCAGATGTCACTGAAAAATTGTTGGAGTGTAATGGTGAAAATATCCATATTTGGAAATAGTCTCCAGTACTGTTTATGTGGATTTTATAAGAAACTGGAGGCAGTTAAAATGTTATTGTAAAGGTTGAGGCGAATGATGAGAGGACCAGACTTGGGGGAGTGAGGGTGGGAATAGCACATTGGGAGTAGATTCTGGAGATATTCCAACCATTCCATTGATGGAAGTAACAAAAAGTGGTTGCTTGGCCCCAAAATGGGCTGGGGGCAGGGTTAGGAAAGGAGTGGGAAGAAGGACGGTCAGGGACTAGAACCCACTTTGCTGCCTGGTTTAGCACAGTGCCAGGTGCATAGCATTCAATGGTAGCTATCATGAGGGTTGTGGGTGGGAGATGGCCTTCATGCACTACTCTCCATGGACCTCACCACGGAACTCCCCACACAGTTCCCCACATTCTGGGCCACACTAGGAATCTACTAGTGAGATGGCAGATAATTACAGCTCCTACTTAGATCCAGTCATGGGGTTAAGGCCTGGTTTTTCTGGTTTGTTTTTTCAGAGGGCAGGGATAGGCAGGGTACCAAGATGAATGACACCATTTCTCCCCTAAGGGAATGCTGTATGTAGAGAATGTTTAAGGAAAACATGGTGCTCATTGTTCATACAAAAATACTCTTTAATCACACTCATTAAAATCATTCTCAAATGTATTGTGTTATATTCCTGGATTGATGTACAAAGTATTTTGAAAACAAGCATGCTCTGCTTAATTTCCCTTTCTGGGGACACATTTACTCTTTGAAATCTGGATTCCATCCTCAAGACTCCAGTGAAAGTATCCCCTCAATGATCACCAGTCTCACCATGGTGACAGAGTCCAGTGACTGATTCAATCCTTCATCCTCTTGGGACTCACTATAATAGGTAACACTACTGATCAGTATATTAGCTGGATTTTTCTCCTACTGCCCTGACTGCCCCTCCAGGGTGTCCTTCAACTCTCTTGCCATCCAGTAACACCCCTCCCCAACTTTTCCTTCAGGGTCTCACTCGCCCCCATGGTTCCACCTGTCACTACTGTGCAGATGACTCATTTCTGTTTTGCCATATCTAGCTCCATTCCACAGCTCCACCCTGAGACTTCCCACTGCCTGCTAGACATCTCTAGCCAGATATCCCACATTTGCATATTCAAAACTGTATTCATGATCTTTCCTCCTGAAAATACTCCTCTTCTTGAATCACTTATTAATTAAGGGACCATCAATCCTCCTTGTCATCCAGCTCAAAACCATCTCAACTGCCTTCCCCACTCATCTATCTATCTATCTTTCTATCCATCTATCTCCAGTTCCCAAGTGGGAGTGATTTTATGTCTCTCATTTCTCACAGTGGCCCTCTCCTCCATTCCTATTGTCATGCCACCCTTGTTCAGGCCCATTCCACAAGATTAAATAGCCTTTTACCTGCTTTCTGTACTGCTATGGCCAATCTTCCCAACTCATTGATTCCAGAGCAATTGATTGTTCTTAAGGACTGCCCCACTCAAAGACCTTTTACACACACACACACACACACACAAAACCTTAAATTAGTCCCCAGAGCCATCGCCAATGTGGCCCCATCCAAATCAGTCTTACCTCTTATCTCCCACAATATCCTATTTCATATCTGTGCCCCAGCTGCACTGCAACTGTCCTATATTCCCACCTTCATGGTTGGGCACATGCTGATCCCTTGGCTTGAGAAACCCTTTTCCCAAATCATGCCCTCCTTTAAGAACTGGATCAAAGGCTGCGCCCTCCATAAATCCTTCCCCAAGTCCACCAATCAGAAGTAACTTCCCAGTCCTATGAAATCCCATAGCCCTTTATATTGATAAGAGTTATCAATATCCACATCCTTCCTCCCCTTTATAGAATTCAAATACTGGTTATCACCCTGGGTTATTAATACAGTGCTTTACAGAATGAACAAGTAAGTGAATGAATGACTACAAGTCTTGCAGTATCACAAAGTTATTATTCTGACAGCGAATTTCAATGTAAGCTTTTGTAGATAGTTGCAGAGGGCATCGGGTGACGTCCCAAATTTCCACTGATTGTCTCAACCTAAACCAGAAGTAGGATTTTGGTTGTTGTGGTTGTGGTGGTTGTGGTTTTCATAAATTCCTGCCTGCCTGCCTGCTTGTTTTCTTATACTGTATCTCTTTCATCAAGAGCGGAGTAGAGGAAAACTGGCTAATTGAATGTTCCAGGCAATTGTTTCTGGTTAATCTAAGTTTTATTGTTTCTGTAAGGTGTTTTCTCTCAGACTGTAGTTCTGACCTATGTTGCCGTTACAAATTGTAGTTTAACACACCGGAGTTGTTTCTTTGCTATGCAAGTGCCATGTATAATAGTCTCCTAGAGACTTCAGGGGACTGTGAAACAGAAGCTAATGTTAGGTCTATCTGCATGAGATTATGTATCTAACCATCCTGCTGTGAAAAAGGAGCCACTCGGAAAAACTCTCTATGCTCTTTGTCTAGCCTCCTGGGTCTATATCAAGTTCAACCAAATGGACCTATTTTATGATACATGTCAGATAATGTTTGATGCTGTGGGGGCTACAGGAAAAAAAATGTGGCATTGTCTCTCCCTCCGCTCCAGGAGCTCTCCATCTCATTAAAGAGCTGCAGATACTCACTTTGAACAAATACAAGACAGTACAAACCCAGATGATCAGGGAGTTTGAGACAAGAGTGGGAAATAATGACCAGAATAGGCAGACAGGACTCCTTGAAGGAAGCCACTTGTGAGATAAGCCTTGAGGAACCAGAGGGCTTGGGATGAGCAGAGAGAAAGGCAAAGAGCACCACAGTCTGAAACAGAAATAGGTGACTATAGGAGATGATTTTGATGCTAAGAAGCAAATGACTAGAGTACAGGCAGGATCCCTTCTGAAAAGCAGAGGG